TTTCCAATTGTAAATAAAAAAGCAATAAACATGGGTACACCCCATGTTTTCTTAACCACACTCGACAGCTCAACACTTGCCTGGAGGTTCACTCTGAAGTCTACCTGGAGTCACCCCCACTGCTGTTTTCACCTCCCTCTGCTGCTCTGAGGTTCCTGGACCTTGACTGCTCACTTGGAGACCTCTGACACTGGGAAAGACTGGCAGCTCTTCCACAGCTTCTGCACAAAAGCTGGATCCAGTCAGAGAAAGCCAGGAGGTGTGTGGTCCCACCCAGCGCCCAGGTCTAGGGAATCTGAGCTGATTGCTTGAGGCTGGATCAGGGCTGAGAGAGGAGGGGCAGGTCTAGGGGCTACTTCTGGGCAGGATCCCCCAAAGGACAGGGTCTCTATCTGTTCTACTGGCTCTCCCAAGAATCACACCCTGCCTACCTGCCTCATTAACTCACTGGCCCACAAGACAGAGGTGTTGGTGCCTACTAGGCCCAGCGACCCCAGAGGGAGAGTCATTAACAACAGCAGGTCCTGCCCCATCCTCTCCCGGGGCTGGTATCACTCACTCCAGCCCACCTCTGTCTCTCCCATGCCACAGTGTAGAAACTTCTCAAAGCAGGGAGAGGCTTGTGGTCTGTTCGGGTTGGGGAAAGGAGACACTGGAGGTAAGAAAGAATCTGTCTCCGGGTCGAATGAGTCCACTAAAGGGTTCAGTGCTTCTGTTGCCCGAATCTTCACCTCCCCTCTGCCAAGTGTCACGGAACTTCTGCCTCTGTGCTCTAGTGACAGAGAGCTCAACGCTGTGGAAAGAAGCCCCCCAACTCGGCACACTGCCCCCTGGGTCACAGTACATGATGAGTGTGATGGGTGTCAGTTAGCAGCCGGGTGAGAGACAGCACAGCAAACTGGAGGACGAATCAGGCCAGCACCGACAGGCCTCTTCTCTCGCTCGTCCCCGGGGCACTCAATACCCCAGCCCCGGGTTATAGGTGCGGTCACCTATAACCTTGTAGGAGGCGAACTTGGGCAATTCTGCCAACACCCACAAAGTTTCCAAAGAGGGGCCCTTGGGCGATTATGAATTGAGTTTTTTGGCCACCCCCAGGTCCCAACAGCCACCCACCAGCTACATCTGGAATGTAGCCAGCAAGGGACGGTTCAGGGCAGAGGGCTCCCCAGGGGACCCTGGCATTTGGGGCAGCAGGCTGCTCCCCTGATTATGACCCCTAATTAGAGGCAGATCTGAGGGAAAGGGAGTGGGGTGGGGGGAGCCGGGGCATCTCGGGGGCTATCAGAACCTTGCTCTTCCCCAAGAGTCAAACCTGCAACAGTGGGGTTCACCACGCTTTGCCAGGCACAGGACTGCTTTTAAAAACTGGGTACTTGGTAACTGACAGACTATCAATTAGTAAATAGCAATAAAGCCACCTCCTTGAAAAGATATTTTCCCTCTTTTAACATTTTTATTTGTGATCATATAAGGAATGCCCAGCCATTAGAGAAGATCTGAAAATATAAATATGTATAAAAAGGGAAATAATAACCCCACACATTGACCCTGTAGTCTTGCCACCCATAGACAATTGGCCAATACTGTGTATTTTCCTTATGCTATCTTTCCAGATGTTTCCTCCGTCCCCCCCGCACCCCCTCTCCAGACTAATTTACTCAGTGCTTCAGAGTGCCCAGAGGGGATCTGAGCCATGGCTTAAGGAGGATCTTCCTAAACTGAGCTGGCCTTCTCTCACGGCAGGCCGTGTCCAGGTCCAGGAGCCAAGGACTAGGAAGCCCCGGTGGGCCTGAGGATGGGTGGTCAGGAGCAGCAGCCCCCTCTCTTCGGAGGCCTCAGGGTGCCCACTTCCACCAGCGAGTCCTTCAGGCGTTCTTCTTGCCTCCGGAGTGACCTGTATGATGAGGTCCCATGTCAGTCCCTCCTCAGCCCCTTGGGGCAGCAAGGAGGGGCGGGAGGGTGTGTCTCAGGGCCTAAAAGGCTGCACCCTGTGAACTTCCTCTCTCCCACCAGCTCTGCTCCTGCCCTGTGCTCCACAGGACACCGGAAAAAACGGGGCCATGTCTGGTGTGATCGGGTTTCTGGCATTTTTGCCAGCCTGCTGTTTGCCAGGCCCTGTACAAGGGACTCTGGTCTTGACAAAGAAGCCAGCATGTCCCTCCCCCGAGAAGGGGTGATGAGGGCCCAGGACTGAGGAAGGAGGAACTCACACCAGGTCCTTGCAGTATTCGAGGAGGAAGGAAGCTGTTGGAACCCACCGAGCAACGGCCAGGGTCTGGTCGCAGAAGGGGCAGTGGGTGCCCAGCAGCAGGCAAAGGTTCAGTGTCAAGAAAGCATGTGGGGGGTTGGGAAAGTAGAAGAAACTCATTCATTCATTCACCAAGTATGTATGTGCCAGTCACTGTACTAAATGACAGAGCCTAAGAAATGAACGACCAGGAAATAAACCTTGGAGGTAGCAGGGATCCAGGGTTCTGTGGACCTGAAAGAGACCTGCAGGAACTTGGGCTTTATGCTACAGTGCAGTGAAAGCTTGGAGAATTTTCTGCCGGAGGGCATCATGGTGTCACCAGGCTTGTTGATTTTAGCAAGCGGTCTAGCTGCTAGGACAGAAAAGGGACTTAGAGCTCATCTGGCCTGATACCTCCCCTTAATAATGCTTTGATTTATTGGGCACCTACTATGTGCTAGACCCAGGTGCTGGGGGAGAGGCTGAACAAGAGACCTAGTGTGCTGTCCTGGAACTGCCACCAAGTAACAGGAGCGGAAGCAACCAGAAAACAGACAAAGCATGTGAAATTACGACTTGTGGAACTTCTAAGGGCACAGAGGACTGAGCTAGAATGTCCTTAGGAGGGGAAGTCAGGGAGGGCCCTTGGAGTGGCTTAGTGAGTCTGTGTGTGTGTGTGTGTGTGTTTGTGTGTACTGGGGAGATGGCACTGGAGATTATGCAGGCCATTAGGCTTTGTTCTATATCTGGTGGAAGTTACTAGAAAGTTAGAAGAAGCAGAGTGCCCTGTGCCCCTCTGTGACTTTAAGGGGGTGATGCAGCCCTTGAGTTTTGGAGAACATAGCTGTAAGACTCTGCACAGGGCTCTCAGGGCCCCTTGGCGGAGAAGCCCTGTGGCTGCATAGAAGCTTCTTGGGAAGAGGCCTCCCCACCTATCCTAGCCCTTCCTACACTGAGTGGCTGACGGTTGCCTCAGGGTTCTGGGTGGGGAGGGCCTCGAGGCACTCACCGGGCCAGGTCCACGATGGGCTCCAAGATGTTGTGACCCAGGGCAGCACTGCACTCTGCAAAGGAGACCCCCAGTTCCTGCAGACAAACAGGAAGGGCTGCGGTGCCTCGTGGGAGACCACCAAGAAGCCAGGCAGCAGCCCCCCCCCACCAAAACTCCGGACATGAGATCTGCTCGGTGTCCCCCTGGCCATGCCCAACGGTGGAGCAGCACTGGGCCACGGTAACCTGTGGTCCCCAGGTGGGCCCTGTGCCCCTCCACCTGGCCACCCCAGAGGCCACCCAGGAACAGTCCACAGCCTTCAGAGTGACTGTGGGAAAAGAGTCCCAACCTGGAGAAAGTCCTTTTAAAGTAATTTTAAATCATTTTCCCCCCTCAAAAAAATATTCCATTGGAGGAAATAGAGCATAAAAAATGTGTTAGTACAAAGTAGAAATCACTCCCATTAGTGTTTGGGTCTGGATTTCCATTCTGTTTTCTACTGACTCTCCTATTGGGGGGAGGAATGGCCATATACATGTTATTATACTGCTGGGTTGAACCACAGGAAAAGCTGCTTGGCTTATTTATCAGCAGTAACCTAACCAACACCCTTTCACAACTGCTTTCTGACTTAGGTGATATTGCTAGCATTTCCCCCACACCCTTCAGTCCTTGTCCAAGACAGGATGCTTAATGGCAGATGTTAGCCTCTTGTGTGGATCTCTACCATTTAGCCACCAGCTGCTTCCAAATTTTGTTCTTAGAAATAATATCATCAAGAACATCCTCATCTAAACAAGTTGGATTATCCATGACACACGGGTCTTCTGTATGTTATTCCCTTAGCGGTTGTTTCTGATTTCTTTCTTCAGGATAGAGGAGGAATCACTACGTCAGACAATTGAGCTGCTACTGTGTGTGTTTGTGTGTGTGTGTAAGAAGTGGGGTACAGCCCAGAGGTGTGGGAGGGTGAAAGGGTTCATCAGAGACAGAATGAGGAGCAGAACAGGTGGATTGACTGATACACACTGCTGAGGGGAGCAGTGCGTGAGACAGGAGAGGTCTGCTGTGCCAGCTCCCTGGATGGGGTTGAACCCAGATCCTAGGGGTGATAGCACTGAGACCTAACCCCTAGGCCACCAGGGAGGCCGTGAGCTGCTGCTTTTATGCAGGAAGAATTCCAACCAAACAGAAGCCTCCATGATGACCTCATGACGGTGAGAAATGAGAGGGACAGGAAGGAAACAGTGTGGAGATGGCCAGGAGGGTTGAGCCAGAGGTAGGGTGAGGAGTGATTCTTTTTTTCCTCCTTTCTTACTCTCCAGACTTTCTAGAATGTGGTCAGATTCTATTCACAAATAAATACTATCTGGAGACAGTGGTAGAGCTTTTGATGCAATCTCTCCCAGGGAAGAACTTGAGTCTAAATCAGAAGGAATGTATGTTAATTAGAGGCCAGAGGTAAAATTAAGATTTGACTGGGAATTTTAAGTGAAGCTTTTCAGACCTTTTTACTCTGGAGAGTTTAAAAATAGAGGTCAAGGCATTGTCTGGGGAATTTGCTAATTCAGCAGTGAAGTTCAATGTCATGCCCACCATGACAGCCTCATGTTTGGGTCTGAGGCTGGTATGGTGGGAGGCAGAGGTGACCAGACTGCTGTCCACATGATCTGGTCTTTGGCTGGGCAAGGCAGGAATGGGCAATGGGTCTTGCTTGGTGGCTCAGGACGGAGTGATTTACTCAGACCCTTCCAGAGCAGTGTCTTCGCGGTCCTGGCTAGCAGAGGGTCCAGCACCCAGGGGCTCACCTTCGCCAGTTGCTGTCCCGCCTCAGTGGGCACCTGACGCTCCTCTTCACAGTCTGTCTTGTTTCCCAGGAGCAGGATGACCACCCCTTCAGCCCCTGTATCCTGCACACAGACACACCCATGCATGTTAAGCACCTGTGTGTGCCAAGCCTTTGGTAGATTTGGTCCTGCCTGCCCACTTTACCCTGCCCCGCTCAGGCCTCCTGCTTCCCACCTTGACATTTTCCCCTCCTTCTGTAGTGAGCCTGCTCCCCTTCTCTGCCTGCAAGCATGCTACACACTTTCCAAGGCTAACCTGAAAAGTGCCACCCTCTGGAAGCCTTCCCGGATTGCTCCTGCCCATGTCTCTGTCTTCCTGCCTGTGCTGAAAGCCCTGTGCTTGATCACACCATTTCCCATGGGTCCCAATAGTAGCTTCTATTTATTGTGTGCTTACTATATAAACCAGGTGCTGGGTGGAAGCAATTATACCAATTCTCATAATTCCTCTCCACAAGAATTTGGGAAACTGAAGTTCAGAAAGGTTAAATCACTAGTCCAAGGTCACAAAGGTGCAGCAGAGTAGTTTGGATTCAAACCTAGGTCCTGTCAGACCCGAGGTCAGTCCCCTTGTCCGCTACTTTATCCAGCTTCCTTTGCCTCTCTTCAACTACACTAGAGACTTTTAGAGAGAAGACAATCCTTCATATCCCCCTCTGTGCTAGTGTAGACTACAGAATTTTCGTATATGTGTATTAAGTATGTGAAGGAAAGAACCGGAAATGTGCGGGCAGAGGAACTAAGGAGGTACCAGAGTTGCATCACAGGAGACATCACAGAGCTGCTGTATGTAGGAAAGGTGTGTATGGGACCTTTGGAGGGGTATAGTGTGGTTATGGTTCTTTGCACTAGTATGCTCTATCTGTCCAGCCACATGGCTTCTGCAGAGCACATCACCTGTATGCCTGATTTGTCTTCTGTAGGCCTGGGAGAAAGTGGGGAACAGGCAGGATACAAGCTCCCTCTTGACTCCCCCAGAACAGGGCCCAACCCCAGCAGCCTTCTGCTCACCTGAAGGCAGTCCAGCCAGTAGCGCACATGTGCAAAGCTCTCCTGGGAGGTGACGTCGTACATGAGCACCACCCCGTCAGCCTTGTGGAACAGCTGCCGGGTCACGCTGTGATACCTACCCAGAGAGTCTGCATGAAACCGTGCCCGGTGGCTTGGCCCCAGGCCCTGACCTCTGCAGGCCTCAGTTGCTCCATCTGCCAAGTGGGAGGATGAATCTTTCCTGCTTCTAATTGCAGAGAAACTGTGTTTTCACACAGTCTCCTTACAGGGCAGTTATTGTTGAAATTTGACAGGCCTGGGCTCAGGGCACAAGGTGAAACCTCTCACCACTTCCTTCCAACCCCACATCCATCCTGCAGCCTCCCACGTTTCCCCAGAGGCCACCAGGGTTTCCAGTTTCTTAAATATTTTCCCAGAGGATTTTATATGTATACAAAAAGTTATCTATGCACACACACACACACATCCCTCCCCTGTTTAATGCAAATACAGTGTCAATACCCCCATCCTCTTCAACATTCAGTATTCTGCACTTTGTTTTTTTCCAGTTCAATGAGAGATCTTGGAGCTATTTTTCTATTGGTGCATAAAGAAGATCTGTAGTCTATTTCGTGTGTGTATGGTTTTGTTGTATTCTATATGTGAATTTACTCTAATTTATTTATACTGCTGTGTAGCTAATCTATTCTAATTTATTTAGCTGACTCACTATTGGTTGCATTTAGGTTGCTGCCAGTGCTTCACAAGACAAACAAGGTTGCTATGGCTCTGTTTTTCCAGTCCTATGTGAGTGCATCAGTAGCATGAACTTCTAGATGCAGAACTGCTGTCAAAGGTGTGTGTTTGTGTTGCTCACCCTGCTTAGCTGGAAAGTGAAGACCAGCACTTTCAGGACGCTGACTGGTCACACTGGATGGTCCTAACCAGACACCCTGCCAGTCTGAGGGGCCCTGGGTCTGCTGCCCCATCGTTCCCCACTTGGACTTGACTAAGCCCTGAATCCTTGTGGAGGGGTCCTCTTTTGCACTTGGTTGCCTTTTGCCCATGTTGGGCTTCTCCCCATGCTGCTACACCCCAGACTTAGCCCTGGTCCCCAAGGCCACTCATGAAGACAGTGCCCTTACCGCTCCTGGCCAGCCGTGTCCCAGAGCTGCAGTGCAAAGTACTTGTTGTCCACCAGCAGGGTTTTGACTCGAAAATCCACTCCTAGGGCACACAGAGGGGGGTTAGTCCCACTTCAGGTTACCACCTAAGACTTGTAGTCAAGGCCTGCCTGCACGTCTACACCAGCCACGGCGGAATGAGAACCTTCTGCTGTGGGGCTTCCCTCTGCTCTCCTCTCCCATCCACATGCCACATCCTCCAAGTAGCCTTCCCTGGCCCCAGTCCAGAGTTCTCTGCTCCCTTACCCACTGGCTCCATGGTGGAAACCAAAAGAAGCACCTTAATTGTTTTGACCTCTGTGAAATAGCTGTCTTCCCAGGGCACAGCAATGTTTATTCCTCAGGTCACGCAAGAAAATGGGTTGCATCTCTGCATGTGTGTAGTATTCCCTTTTTTTATTCCCCAATAAAAAGATGCATGCATCCTCCCCCTTTAACCAGACAGCAGGGCAGACAGGCAGCCCAGGAGGTGGGAGGAGTGTTAGCTTCAAGGATGGTCAGCTGGGCTATGAGCTGTCCACTCTCTGTGCTGAGTGTGACCTTCGACAAGTCACTTCCCTCTCTGCGCGTCCCTCCTCATCAGCTAGGCGGCCATCATAAAAGATCCACCCTGCAGGGTGGTTGGGGAGATGAAATCACTTAGATCCAAGATTCAGCCCCATCTAGGAGGGGTTTGAGAGATGGGAATTTTCATTATCACTATTACTCCTCATCTCCCTGAATCCCAGCTACACCCTCCCCTGTGGTCGTGGTTCCAGACGCTCTCCATCCCAGGAAATAATAGGAAAATCCCAGGGAGGTATGGAATCTTTGGGGGTGCACCTTCCTGCCAACTCCTTCTTCCCAAGGAAACCAGACAGGGTGGGTGATGGAGAGGGGTTTCTCTGTCTCCATCCCCAGCCCCTTTCCTAATGGAATTCTATGGCTTCAGGGTCCAGGTCGGCTCAGGAAAGGGGTGTCTCCTCACATTAGCTCCTCAATGAGCTGGTAGACCCTGCTCAAGGTCTCCTATGTTGACCCCTATAAATGTTTGCTGCTGCCCCCTAGTGGTGACAGTCGATAGGCACCTCGGGCTCCCTTCAGGAAACCAGAGCAGCCACACCCCCAGAAGGCCTGCCCTCAGCAAAATGGTGAAGTAGAAGTTTGCAGACGCTCTTTCCTGAAGGTCTTAGGAAACCCAGGGTCTGCAGGAACCGCCCATGTTTTTTAACCCAACACCCTGTGATAGAGCCAGTCTCTGCTTACATACTCAGCAGGTTGAACCTACCGAACAATTAGCCTCTGCTGTTAATAACTCCTCAGTGTTCTCACTTTCTACTTCCCTGCTCATCCCCCAATGTGCCCACAATCTCCCCCAAACATGTTACAACTTAACCACATACAATATTAGGAATATGTTTCCTCCTTCCTCTCTTCCCCCGAGTTCTCCCCAATTAGCAAATTAACATGAGCAGCCTCAAAAGAGGGCAGAATCCCAAAAGGCATATAAAGGGCATTTGCCTGGAAGGCAGGTGGCCCTGGGATGAACTCTGGGATGAACTCAGTAAAGGCAAGAAACTTAGTGAGGTCTTCAGTGCTCTGTTTTCTCCACCTGTAAAATGGGGATGAATATGGAAAAGCCTCACAAAAAAAGGCCATTCAGACAGAACACTGGTCTTCCATCAGCCCTACCCCCAAATGCAGGCAACTTACAGCTCTGAGCTGCTGAAAGAGAGGGTAGGAATGAACAGAGGCTGATGCTGAGTGGGAAAATATGTTTGAGGAAGAGGCCAGAAAGTTCCCCAGTGACCGCTATGCCAGCTGAATGACAGCCACCAGGATGTGAAACCACAGCTGGCTTTCGATCATGGCCCTGGGTCTCTAGACTCCAAGCTGATAGTAGTGCCTCTGAGTTTGGCCACTTTTTTACAATTATGCAACCTATGTTTGCCTTGATAGACTTTTTCAAAAAAAGATTTATTTATTTATGCTTACAGAACTGGGGTAAAGGCCAGAGTTGTGGTGGGTGAGAGGATTCACCAGAGATAGAGTGGAGAGAGAACAGGCAGATTGAGGAACTATACTGCTGAGGGGAGCAGCGGGCAGGTCAGGAGAGGTCTGCCGCGCCATGTGGGTCAGCTCCGGGGCAGGGATCAAACTCGTGCTGCAGTGGCTTGAGAGAGCTTCATAATGTGGTGCTTTAATCTGTTGTGCCACCAAGGAGGGCCCTGATTGACTTTTTTTTAATAAGGATTCATTTATTTATGCACACAAGAACTGGGGCATAGAAGAGAGGTGCAAGGAGTGAGAGGATTTACCAGAGACAGATTAGGGAGAAGAACAGGCTGACTGATGAAGTATACTGCTGAGGGGAGCAGCTGGCAAGACAGGAGAGGTCTGCTGAGCCATGTGGGTCACCGCCGGGGTCGGGGATTGAACTCATGCTGCAGTGGCTGCTGATAGGTACTTTGTGCTGCAGTTAAACCTGAGCGCCACCAGGGAGGGCCTCCTTGATTGACTTTTGTGGAAACTTTCTAACATATAATAATGCTCATGATGAAGAAATAAGACTTAGACTTAAATAGCGATGAAATAATGATCAGTAATCATTAACAAATGATGCATGATAGTTAACTGGTAAATAATACAGACTATTCATTGCTAATAAATAAGGCTCAGTCGCAGAGAGGGTTGTTATAAGGGATAATAAGGAGAAGCCTGGTGCATTGTGGGTGGCTGGTAACTCATACATTCAGTAATAACAGTGGCCTCGCAGGCCTGTCACCCAGCCCAGCATCCGACCAGGCCTGCTCCTATGTCTCCCTCTGCCCGAGGACACTACATTTTCAGCTGGCTCCAAGGTGAAGATTCTTAGAGAACGTTTTGAGAACTTGTATTTGTCTACTGGCTTGGCACTGGTCCCAGTCAGTATGTAACCCGTTGACAAAGATGTGGACCACTCCATCTTAGTCCCTAAGTGAGTCTCGCTTTCATTCCCAGCATTTCTCTGTTTCTGTCCACTGTTCAAGTGCCATCTGACCCAGTGTTTTTAGGGAGAAGAAACTCCCTGCTTTGGGCATGTCATTTGCAGGAGCCACTGAAGTCGACATTATCAAATAATTACTTGTAATCATAAACAATAACTAATATTTACTGAGCACTTCATTCTAAGAACTTGACATGACTCATCCTTACAACCACTGTAGGAAGTTGGAACTGTTGTTGTTCCTGTGATCCTCAAACCCCTAGTGAGTGGGTTTGAACTCAGGTACCTAGGTCCCTAACTTAACATACCACAAATGCGCTCTGCACAAAATATTCTACTTGCTCAAGGTGACTTCCTGCAGAACACGGCTGACTGGCTTGGGGCTAGTCATGAGCAAATCCGGCCAGCATGGACCCTGCAGTGGCCTGCCCATAGGCCACGTGGGTGGAGACTTGCCTGTTTTCACCATCAAATAGTGCTGGCACCTAAATTACAGGGTGCTTTGTTGATGTGGCACATTATAAGCTAATCAGATCAATGCAGAAAAAGCAAATTACCTGTAATTAGGGATGATTAGTAAAATAGGAAGATTATGCCCCTATAAAATAATGTCTACTGCAGGGCCCGTGGCCAGGGCAGAGTGATTGCAGCTTCCTTAGGGATAGAGCGAGCTCTCTAGGCCTGCCTGGGCTTGTGGGTCCAGCCCCTGGGTCTCTCCTCCCTCCCCTGCTGCCTCCCCAGGTGGGCCTTACCCACAGTAGCTGTCAGCCCAGTGGTGAAGGAGTTCTGGTGCAGCAGGTGAAGGAACGATGTTTTGCCCACATTCGAGTCTCCCAGGAAGATGACATGGAAGACGTAGTCAGGGTCTGCTGAAGGCTCACTGGCTGTGGGGGGTTCTGGGGGAGGGGTCAGCTCAGTCTTTCCAGAGTCTGTTCCTGGGTCTTCAGGCCTGTTCCTTGCCCCTGGCTCTCTGGATTGAGGGGGACCTTGTTCTTCTCTATGAGAGGTTGTAGGTGGGGATCTGGGCTGGGCTTTCAGTTTGGCCACAGAAGGGAGGCTATCTGTGAACCCCAAGGGGTCTGCTTCATCCCTAGGCTGTGCCCTTTCGGGGGGAGAGGTCCCAAGGAGTGAAGATTTCCCAGGAGCAGGGATTTCTGCTTCAGCCCACATCTGTGGAGTACCAGAAGGGAGAGAAGCGGCCGCATCTTGCTGGGGGAGTTCTAGACGCCCAGTCCTCAGGCTGGAAGTCTCTCCTGCCTGCTCTGAACTGAGACCTTGCCCTCCCCCATCTACTCCTTTCCTCTCTTCAGCCCTGGGCTTCTCTTCCAGACCCTGGTCGGGGAGGGCTGCCAGTCCATCTGGCCTGAGGTTCTGGCCATGAGCTTCTCTTAGTTCTCCAGCATGGGCCGCCTGCATATCTGGACCTGGCTTAGGCTGCTTGGGCTCCTCTGTGGGATCCTGGGAGGGCTTGGCCAACCCAAGGGTGATTGCTCCAGCTCCTGGGGACCCCAGTCCTGCCTCAGAGCTAGCAGTGTGCAGGTCCAGATAGAGGGACTCTCTCTGCCTGGGTGGTTTGGCAGGGATAGGCTCAAGGCTAAGGCCCTTGTCGTCTAGGTGTGAGGCCTGGAAATGTTCTCTGGGCCCAGTTGAGCTTGCATGTGGGGGAGATCCCACCTCCAAAGGAATGAGCACTTTGACAGGTGCTGTCACCAGGCCCCCTGACTCCTCAGTTGGGGCCTCAGGCAAACGGAAGTGGGCCTCCGTGCCAAACCCTGACACCGTCTTGGGCTCCAGACTTTGAGGCTCAACAGGCTCTTCTGGGCGGATGTCCTGTCCATCTGGGTCCACTCCTTTCCCTTTGTTGGCTCTGGAAGGCACCCCAGGGGGACTCCCTGGAGCCCCATCGGGTTCTGAGGATGGCTCCTGACTGAACAGCAAAAACTGTGGCTCTGAGATGGAGATGTGCCTGACTACTCGGGGCGTCTGAGGGCCTGAGTGGGAACTCGGGGTTGGGGGTGGGCTCCAGGAGACCTGCAGGTCGCTGTGTGTGGGGCTGCTGAATCTGCTCAGGAGGTGGTGCCAGTCATCATTGTCCCCAAACAGCCCTGGCAGAGGGGCCTCCTCAGGGAAGGCTGTCTGAGGGTCGAGAGTCTTCTCATCTGCTCTGGGAACACTAGAAAGGAAGCAAGGAAGTAAGGTCAGGGGAGGAGCAGGTAGCAGGCTTACCAATCCCACCTACATCCCTTATCTTTGATTGCAAATTTCCAGAATGAGCCTTCCTTCCTGTCTTTGCTCAGGTAGCTCTTCCCACCTGCAAGTGCTCCCTCCTCCTTCCCCTCATTTAATTCTGCTCATTCTTCAAGAACTATAGAACTATATGAAGCCTCACCTCCTCCAGGAAGCCTTCCCTGATTTCCCTTTCTGGCCCAGCCCATGCCTCTATGTTGTAGCAAGATCCCAAGGATATGACTTCTCCCTCTCTGTGCCTCAGCTTATCTAAGAAATAGCATGCTAACCCCAGGCTGGCCGGGTTGTGATGAAGTTTAAGGAGGGACACCATGTTCTGGGTACTGACCAAAGCCTCAGAGAACTCAGCCTCCCCTGTCTCCCAGGGAAGCCCTGGTCTCCAGCCAGGATGGCAGCCACTTGCCTTGGTTCCTCCTCCATCTGCCAGGACACAAGGCCCCTGGCGGCACGCAGATGCCCCCTGGTCTGCCGCAGCTGCCCTCGCACTTCCTCCAGCTGGCCTGCCAGGTGCCGCTCAGCCTCTTGAAGCTGCTGGTTCTCTTTGCTGGCCTCCAAGTTTGAGCTGCTGAGGCTGTGGAGCTGGGCCTCCAGCTGCCAGGAGGGAGGGAAAAGCAGGAAGGGAGGGTTGAAGACCCCTCCAGGGCCTTGAACCGCCTCTCAAGATTATTGTGGGGGTCAGACTCTAGGTTCCTGGAGAGCCGATATAAAAAGCTGGTGGGGGTAGGGTTACCCTGCACCAGCCCAATTAACTCAACTACTGTCGGGGACCAGCCCAATCATGGGCTGTTGAAGGGCAAACACAGGCAGGATCTTAAGGTGTGAGCGGTGTTGGTGAGCAGTTATTCCAAAAATGAGGAGCAAAGGGGAGTGGGCATGAAGAAGACTGGGGAATCAGAGTTGGGTGCAAGTCTTCTTGCTCTGGTCTCAACAGACCTTTATTTCTACATTATGAGCAAGCATTGGGATATTAGCATATGAATTGGGCTGCGAGATCACGATCATTTTTCTAAGAACAGTTTGGGGTCGTATTGACCTTCAGCTGAGATTATAACATTATTCTTAAAAGTTAAAACAGGTACATATTAAAGTTAAAACAGGTACATATTAAAGTTAAAACAGGTACATAAATTCACAAAATTTAAGACTAATGTTGCTATATTTACCACAGTGAAGATTAGCTAAAATAAAATCCTTTAAACTCTAATTACTATTTATTGACCTTCATTCTCATTGAGATATCTTAAAGGGTAAAGTATGGAGGTAAAGTATGGAGGAATTTTTTTGTAAATCAATCACAAAAAGAAATGCAATAAAGTTCCTTAAAAACTGAATAGAAAGCTTGAGTAAATTTCCTTATTTAAACAGTAGAAAGCTTTAAAAACTGAATAGAAAACTTATGTGTGGTAGTAGAGTGATTTGGGTTCTCATCTGGGCACTAAAAGAACATGTTCTAGTACTGCCTCATATTACAATATTGATTTTGCTATAACAGCCAATTACTTTTATTAATCAGCCAATTGTAAAATTACTTTTGACTTCAAGAGGAATTTCCCACCCTGGGGCAGTGCCTATTTGCCTGGACCAGGAAATCACCTTATGAGGATAAAACAATCCAGTTGTAAACTGAAAGTTGCTCAGAATATTTTGATATTATGATTATACAAAAAAAGGGAGGTCGTAACATAAGTTAGCGTGGAAAGTCTGATTTTTTTCAGAGCATTCCCCCTCCATCCAGAATTTGTCGGTCGATAGAAGTTGCTTAGCTTGTGTCAAACTACCTCCCACCGGAGGGAAGTGCACGGGATGATGGTGATGGCACACGGGTGACTTGGTGATGGGAAACCCGCGGGGATTACAATTGAGATGGGAAAAAAATGTACAAAATGATGTAAAAATAAACTGTTATAAAATTTAAAAAAAAAAAAACCTACCTCCCACCCAGGAGAAACATTTGATTTGGGGTAGGGAGGCGACAAAGGGCTGTGTGAAAAACACAAGCTGCTAGCACCATCGGTTCCCAAACATAAATGGGGCCACATTCCCTTCTGCTCAAAGCCCAGTGCCAGCTACCCATCCCCCAGCCCCCTGTGGCCTCCTGATCCAATAGTTCATCAGCACATGGGGTGGAGGGCAACCTCACAAGACCCCTGTGTCCACAAGGGCTCTTCAGTATCTCCCTGCAATATTGCCATTTACCTCCTACCTCATGTCTCCACCTTGACCCCCCCTCAGTCAGGGCCACACCTTGACCATTCAAACATTCCCATTTCAGGGCACTGGCTGTTCCCTCTGCCTGAACAGCTCTTCCCTCAGATATCACCTGGTTCACCCTCACCTTCTGATCTTTACCCCAACATCATCATTGCAGAGAGGCCTTCTTTGACTCCCAACTGAACACATTTCAACTCCCCCTAACAACTCCACCCATCCTGGCCTGCTTTACTTCACGCTCCTTAGTAGGTTCACTACCCCTTAGAGAGATGGCTTGCTGATTTTATCCCTGGACACCCTGGCCAGACCGTAACTCCATGGATGGGGGTTTGTGTCTACCAGAACTGAGAACAGTGCCTGCCAAGAGTAGGCATGTCACAAGTCTTGCTGGGTAAAGGAGTGTGGCTGGGAAAACAGGAAACAGAGGAAATGGGCCTGTTTGGAAAGGCCAGTCTCCTCCCTTGGTAGAGGGCTGCCTCAGTTTCTACAAAGCACCTGGGAAATCAGCCCAGTGGGAGGATTTGGCTGGGTGACAGGATCACCCTGGTGGGGTTGGGGGTTGCAGAGCCTGCTGGGAACCCGGGCCAGGGCTGAGGGGGGCTGGTTGTCCTGCCTAGAATAGGAGATTTTACTAAGATCAGTGGCCTAGAAGTGATGAAGGAAGAGGAGGCAGGTTTCAGACCCAAAGATTGAGTCACAGTGCCAAGTACAGTGACTGCAGGCAACAAGACCTGGGGCATTCTGGCTGGGAAGCTAGGCCAGATTTGGAAACAGTGACTGTGGTGACTGCCTTGACCCTCACCTGAGACAGCACAGCTGCCTGGAGTGTTCCTCTCTGATGAGGAAAACAGGGCCGGGGAGCTTAAAACCCTGCTCATGTCCCCTTAGCTGACAACATTGGTGAGAATTGTTTATTTCTTAAAATGTTTTGTAAAGATTTATTTTATTTATTTATGCATAAAAGAACTAGGGGACAGGCCAGAGGTGCAGGGGGGTGAGAGGATTCACCAGAGACAGAGTGGGGAGCAGAACAGGCAGATGGACTCAAATACACTGCTGAGGGGAGCAGTGGGCGGGACAGGAGAGGTCTGCTGAGCCATGTGGGTCACCTCCCTGGCCGGGGATCGAACTTGTGCTGCAGTAGCTGCGGATAGCTTCACACCCTTTAAAATTTTTTGAAATTAATAAATGAAGGAAATAATGTAGTGAGGAGACAATATATATTTTTTTAATTTAAGAACTTATTACTTATCTTTTGTTTCTATAAGATATAGGGGAAAATAAGTGAGAGATAAGTTCATTAATCAGTTTGATTACATGAACCATTTCACTATGGATGTGTATATCAAATCATGTTACATCTCTCTTTTTTGGCACTTTAAAAAATTTTCTCCTTGTTCTTTCTTTTGTTTGTTTGTTTTTTTTTTTTTCTCCAATGTCTCATGTCCTCTGACACTCAGTAGCTATAATTAGCTTCTTCACTTGTCTTTCCCATTTCAAAGTGCTTTACCATCCCATTCGACACATTGGGCTGCAAGGTACAGCTGAGTTGCCCATCTCCATTCACAGCTGGAGTAACAGCGGCCAGGACAAGCAGGTTCACAGGGCTCTTCACTGGAACTGCAGGGTTCTGAACCTGTGCTTTCAGGCTCATGCCTTGCTGCTCCCACTCAATGCCTGGCCTCATCTCAAAGGGGATGAAGACACCTGGGAAGCTACTCTCTTGGGGCCTCCAGCAGCCACTGAATCCTCAGGGCTGGGCTAGTGGCTACAGATAGACTTACCCAGTCAGGTGCAAAGGGCACTTCTGGTGGCTGCAAGGAGCCCGGTGTCAGAGTCTGAGTTCTGAGAAATTGGGCTGCCGGAGAAGCCCTGTCACTCACCTCCCTCTGGCCCTCAGCCAGCTGCTGCACCGCACGTTCCTTGGCCTCCAGGGCTTCTTGCATCTGGGAGTCAAGGGCCTGGCTCCGCAAGTCACTCTGGGGAGCAGAGAGGTTTCAGGCTGTTTGCAGAAGCTAAGACCAAGCCGGGCTGGCTCTCCTCCTGCTTCACTTGGATGGGGCCTGGAGTGCAGGGACCAGGATGGGTCTCAGGACAACTCCCCTGACACCAGCACCCGGGGCGTAGATTGTGGCAATAAGGAGAATGCAAGAACTGGCTCCCGGCACAGACCAGGACCTGGGTGAGCAACAGGGACCCAGACTCTGCAGTCCATGCTCCCCCACTCCCACCTCCTTTCTCTGAGAAACACTGGTCAAGGGTGAGGGAGGTGCAGCTCCCAGTGCCTGCTACTGTCCTACATAGACAGCACCGCTGCTTAGCCAGCCAGACTCCAAGGCAGGCGGTTAGGGGCAAGCTGCAGGGGCGCTCACCTCAGCCTGCAGCTGCTGCTTCTCCTGATGGATCTGCTGCTCCATTTCCTCATAAAGCTGCTGGACCTCACGCTGGTGGTCGGCATCCCGCCTGGAAGGGGCACGGGGGGAGGGTGGGCAGGCAGCCCTCAGCACCCTGACTCCGTCACTGGCAGGGGTGGTCTGTGCTTTGATTTGGAGTCATCCCACTGCTACCTCACTTTACCAGCTGTCACTGATCCCTGTCACCTAAGAACAGTCACCAGTAACAGAGACACACGCCTAATCCTATTAGACTGGCTCATAAAACCATCACCAAGATAATTGGTTCCCTGGACTTGTCACACAGTCCCCACCCCCCACCCCATAACTCAGACACCCTGATAAGGCTGTACCCGCGCCAACCCCGGGGTCACCACGTGTGTTGTAATGTACATGAGTGGCCCCCCCAGCGCTGAACACCACAGCGGCTCTGCACCAAAGCACACTGGCCATTCCACTCCCGCTGAAGGCCCAGCTCCGTCCTCCCAGGCCAGCCTCCCAGAGCCACCCTTTCTTCCAGTTCAGCCCTGCCCCTCCAGCTCCCAGGCTGCTGCGAAGCCCTGGCCTCTGCTCTTCTGCAACTCAGGGAATTCAATTCTGCTTCAGTGAAAATGTAAAGGAGATGCTCCAGGTGCCAAGTGGGTGGCAGGGCCCCGGCACCCACTTACTTCCTCAAGGTCAGCTCCAGAGCCTCCTTGTCGGCCTGCACCTCCCGCAGGCGGCTGGTCATCTTGGCCAGAAAGCCCTCCAGGTTGCCTGCCAGCTGGGGCTCCTCCTGCCGCAGCTTCCCCCAGAGCTGCCAGACCTCTGCCTGCCTGGCAAGGAGAGGATGGCCAGCAACTAGATGTGAGGTAGGCTTAGGAAGCGGGGTGGCAGCTCCTGGGGTTTTTTAATTATTTTTTTAAAGATTTATTTATGCATGCAGAACTGGGGTACAAGCCAGAGATGCAGGGGCGGTGAGAGGGTTCACCAGAGACAGAGTGGGGAGCAGATCAGGCAGATGGATGAGCTGCTGAGCGGGGCAGCGGGCGGGTCAGGAGAGGTCTGCTGCTCCAGAGACAGAGTGGGGAGCAGAACAGGCCAACTGATGAAGTACACTGCTGAGGGGGGCAGCAGGCGGGTCAGGAGAGGTCTGCCGCGCCGTGTGGGTCACCTCTGTGGCTGGGGATCGAACTCGCACTGAAGCGGCTGAGGCCAGCTTGCAGTGCTCTGTGCTAGCCCGTTGCGCCACCAGGGAGGGCCCTGCTCCTGGGTTTTAATGCATACTCCAAGAAACCCCCGAGCCACACAATCTATTTCACACCCTACGAGGAGCAACTCAAATGTCAGCTCTTCCAGGAAGCTCTCTCCATTCTAGAAACTCCACAACACTTTTGCTTTCTGTGGTTCAGTGATTAATTGAAGGTTGGGGGGATATGGGAGCCCTATTGTCCAGCGTTTCCATCTAGTTTTCTCTCTTCTCCCACTTGTAGCTGTGTGACCCTCAGCAAGGCTCATGCCCTCTCTGAGCCTATTTGTAAAAGACAGAGGCTGAAGCCTGCCCAGCAAGGTTGCTTGAGAATGAGAGACATGCCTAATGAAAGCACAGCTTGGGGCCTGGCACATGGCTGGTATTGGATAAATGCTGCTTTCACACGGGTCTAATTAAGTCATGAAGACAGATGCCAGAGGGCTGAGCCAACCCAGGCTGCCAAATGGTAAATGGCTCCCTCCACACCTGCCCCGCCGGCCTGTACCCTAAGTCCCACCCTGCCCGCCCCACGACACTGGCCACACCCTCAGAGCCTGTCCTCACAGCACTCTGCTGATGGTGAACCTGGATGGTGATTCCCTTGTTGTAGCTAACAGACCCCAAAGGGGCCTAGGGGCATCACAGGCCAATTTTGGGGCCCTTTTCTCTGAGCATGAGGGAATCTATTGAGCTCAAAGCCTGAAACAGTATGCAGGAAATGTCCTCCTGTCCAAATATGCTTAACCAAGAACATCACCATGTCTGAAATCACTGCATGTAGTGTGAGGGGGTGGGGTGGGGGGTTTTTTTGTCAATAAAGACATTCTCATGGGAGGCTGATACTGTGGCTTGCTAATGATCCTACAGGGCAGACAGGGTATTGTGGGGTGTGCTGGAAGGCCGCCTCATGTGCAGGCTTCTCCATATGTGTCTTCATTTAATCCCAGGGCAGCTCTAATGTTCTCTCTAAGCCAGAGATACAGAGGTCAGTTAGGTCACACAGCTACCAAGTAGCCAAATCAGGACATGACCCCAGCTCTACCTGGTGGTGCCCCATCTCAGCACCCACATGACAGGTGAGTCCTCTTTCCCAATGACTGGAAGTACCACCCCACACCAGCCCCCAACACGCACGCACGACACTGGTCTTACTCAGGGTGTAAGTGGCTGGCCCCCAACTGCTCCATGAAGGCAAGGAACAGCTCCTTCTCCTGAGGGTTGGCCTCCTCCAGCCCTGGGAAGCTGGTGGCCAAGGATCCTCGCTTGGAGGACAGTGTCTTCTTTCTGCGAAGCCTGTGGATACTGGGGCTGGAGCCAAAGATGTTCTCTGTGGAACAGGGGGCGCAGAGGGAGGAAAGTAAAGTTGGGTCCGGTCTTCTCCCCTCCCACCCTGCCCTTTCCAGCATTTGGAGAAGCAATTTTATCAGTGTCTATCACAGAATCCAGGGCCATTTCATACTTTCTTCATCTCAGCTTTGGGAATTCAGTCAAGGTAGACACTGTGCCCATTTTTAGATGAATATCAGAGACTCAGAGAGACCAAGGGGCTAGATGGAAGTCATGCAGCAACTCTATGGTAGCCAACAGCTTCTTCACTCTCAGTCAAAAGGTATTTATTGAGCATCTGTCATGTACTGGGGCCAAAACTGGTCAAAATTCCTGCCCTGGCAGAGCTGACATTTAAAAATGTGAAAATAACATCTTTTTAAAAAGAAAATTTGGTGGGCCCTCCCTGGTGGCGTGACAGGTTAAAGTACAGCACTATGAAGCCACAGCCTCTTCAGCACGGGTTCTATCCCCGGCCAGAGAGGTAACCCACATCGTGTAGGCAGACCTCTCCTGTCTCACCTGCTGCTCCCCTCAGCAATGTACTTTGTCAATATGCCTGTTCTGCTCCCCTAACCAGCCCTGAACCTCTGGCGTGTACCCCAGTTTTGTGTGCATAAATAAATAAAACTTATAAAAGAAAAAAGAAAATTTGCTAAGTGAGGTAAAGTATAAATTTTCATGGAGTAGACTGGTCTGCTTTAGACAGAGTAGTCAGGAGTATCCCAAGGAGGTGATATTGGAAATGAGATGTCAGAACAGAAGCAAGTAGTGTGGATTTCTAGGGAAGTGCTTCCTAGGCAGAGAACAGAATGTGCAAAGGCCCCGAGGGAGGGATCAGTCTGGTACACTGCGGGGTAAGTAGCACTGAGGGAGATTAAGAGGGTGGCAAAATTTGAATGTTGCAGCCCTGGAGGTCTGAGGAGGGCTTTGGACTTTGTCCACAGGCATTGACCCCGTGAGCACAATTAGATGCAAAGATGGCCCCTTCACACTATTTTGACAACACAGTTCCCACTGCCTCTTCTACTCCCACTCCAGGCCCTGATTCCTCCTCCCTTACTCTCAGCTTCTCAATCAACAGGGCGGCCCCAATCTAAAAATGTAGGTTTCTGATTTCCTTCCTCTATTGTCCCCCAACTTTTGGAGGCTCAGCAGACCCTGAGAACTCTGACTGACTTTAGACTTTAAAGGCTGAGCTATGCTTTCCTGGGACTCTGAAGGATACCACACCCTTGGTGCCCTGGGCCAAAAGTTCCTCCCCACTGAGAAAATCAGGAGGGCATCAAACCCTTCTGGCCCTGGTCTCTCTAGTCCTTGTGAGCCTGTCTTGAGAGGCAGGTACTAGAGCAGCTGTTTAGTGGAGGCTCAGGGCTGGGGAAGTCCACCCACTGAATTACCATCCACGGCTCCCTAGAACTTGAAATTCCCTTCAACAAGCTAGAAGGTGACTGTTCCTCAGGCAGAAACAAGGCCTGGGGCCTCACCAACGAGAGGCACTTAACCTTTCACTTCAGAGATGCCTCCTCAGGGAGAAGACAAGGGAGACACCAGAGAGAAAGCCAGGTGGAGAGGGTTGCTCAGGGGAGCCCCCAGGAAAGGGACTGCCTCATTGGTAGGGAAAGAAGTGAACAGGTCTCCTGGGCTAGCCTTAGGGCCCAGCTTCTCCTGGAAACCACTTTACAGGTGTGTCCTCATCTCCACAGCAATCTGTTAGTTTCCAGGCCCTGACTACTCCAGGCGCTGAAGCGCTTTTTAAAGATCCTCTGATTAGGGCCCTCCCTGGTTGTACAATGGGTTAAAGC